ATCTTCAAAATTCCCATGATCTGAGGGAATTGCAATGGAAGCATTGGTGCATCTCGAGCGGAAGATCTTTTTCGTGTTTGAGCAGCCTGCTCAAAGCTATGGCTTCAAGCTTCCACAGATGCAAAATCTGCAGGTTGTGGCTGGAATGATCCCTAATTGGCACCTAGAATCTGATTTTATAGTACTTCCACTGATCTGGGTCCCTGATTTTATAATATTTTAATATATTTCATAATGATATTTCAGCGCATTGGCAGCAGAAAAGGCACACCAAAACACACATACATGATAAAAAAGAAACATCAAACATATCATACATGTTGCACCATGTCATTCCTTTGAATTGGCAAGGTGTTCCATGACTCTTCCCCAAAGAGGTTGGAAGTAGTTATATTCTATGGATAATATTGTTCAACCATGTTCAATCAGGTTTCTGAATCTATAGAGGTGTTTTTCTATTGTTAAAGCGCACAATGGAAGACACGTATGGTTTTTTTGGAGAGCTCCATTTATGTCTATAAAATCATGACACCTTGGGGTTGAAGCAGGGGTCTCAATTCTACAGTCTGATAATATGGCAGGGGATGTATGATGTTCTGATTTTATAGAGATTTTTGTTTTCTACATGGAGGATTTATATTCTATTGGAGAACATTGGGGCATTGTTCAAGTATGTTCAACCATGTTCAAGCAGGTATCTGAATCTATAGAGGTGTGTTTTCTTTTGTTAAAGCGCACAATGGAAGACACGTAGCAACCCCAGTGGGTTTTTGGAGAGCTCCATTTATGTCTATAAAATAATGACACCTTTGGGTTGAAACAGTGGTTTCAATTCTATAGTCTGATAATATGGCTGGGGATGTAGGGTGTTCTGATTTTATAGAGGTTTTTGTTTTTCTACATGGAGGATTTATGTTTTTTTTTGGGTGTGTGTGGGCCCCGGTCAGCGTCGATGCCTTGAGGATCATAGTTTTGACGTACATGGGTTTCTTCAACCACGACCTAGCCAAGCAGACACATTTGCTGACCAACATGGCGTCGTGGCCTAAGATGCCGCCGGTCATACGCGGTTCCAACTAGAATCCCAGCACCAAACATTCCTAAAACACACCCAGATTTTTGTCTGAGATATACCGGCATCGGCGGATTATGAGTTTTTTTCCGACAGGTCTAGCAAGAAGTTGGCACGGGTCCTGAAGAAGAAGGACAGGTTACGCATCAAGGAGCTGGATTAGAATTGACAAAAATAGAACTACTGGAACAACTGTTTTGAATTGTTTTTTTTGGGCATCTTTTTGGTGTGCGGCGGTTGGGCTGGGAGCCTTTGCGCCAAAAGAGCCTCAGGAGCGTTTGCGGAAGCGGAACTTACGCCGCTCCAAGCCAAAGCAATATTACACGACTTGCACTCGTCCGTCCGGTGAGAAAGGGTGGCAGGGAGGACCGCACTTGGCGGATTCAGCTGCCTACACGGCTGCATTTTGCAATGCCGTTTTTGCTTGTTGGCTGGAAGCCCGCAAGCAGATGCTAGCGGCGCCGCCAGGAGTAGCGTGAAGTAGTTCGTTTGCCAGAATTTTATGCCCGGCCAAGACCGAATCGGTTTCTGTTTTGTTTCAGTGATTGAAGTGATTGCAGATCCGGTGTTTCCATGCCCCGTTTCTGTGGGCTACCGGCGCACAAGCTGCAGATCCGGTGTTTCCATGCCCCATTTCCGTGGGCTACCGGCGCGCAAACAACAAGTGTTCGTGATGTCAAAGGTGCCCTTTTTTTTTGGGTCCAGAGCTCGCAAGCAATGACTCTCATCCGTGACTATGTCC